TATTTGTACTTTGTTACTTCCCATCTCTGCGTTTACATATATAGTTAATACAACTGTTCCTTATTTGTGCACATTAATGATGTTTCACATCCACTGTTAGATGTGTGAGTAAAGCTGGAAACCAGGTGAGTTGAGTTGCTTTCGGTCGTTGGTTAGAATGAGATCATGTGATGTTCCTCCACACGTTGATCACATTCACTATGCCTCTTTTTCACATCTTCTAACTGCTCCCTGTGTTTCTCAGGCCCCACTGTGTTACAGGATGTAACGGCTGAATCCAAAGTGATGCAGGAGGAGATCTTTGGACCACTGCTGCCCATCATCACAGTGGATGGTGTGGATGAGGCCATCCGCTTTATGAATAAGAGAGAGAAGCCGTTAGTCATCTACGTGTTTTCCCATGATGATAAGGTAAGAGCTTTAGCTTTAGCTTCAGACCGACCTTTTTACCTTCTTTCATTAAAGTGCTTTATTTGAAACAGCTGATCAAAAAAGTGATAGCTGAGACATCTAGTGGAGCGCTGGTGGCCAACGATTGTATTGTTCACTTCCTGGACAGCGCCCTGCCGTTTGGGGGGGTTGGTGAGTGCAGCTCATCTAGATTTATGGTTCTATGAGAAGCTTCTGACTCTGGCTTTGAATTTCTGGCTCTTCAGGTCACAGCGGTATGGGGCGCTACCGCGGCCGCCACACCTTTGACCAACTCAGCAACCTACGCAGCTGCATGATCAAGCAGCTGAAGATGGAGGCACTCAACAGCATGAGATACCCCCCCCTCAGTGCGAAGAAGCTCGGCTGGGCCCGCCGCTTCGTGCTCTCGCACGTTAATGTGCAGAGGCTGCGCAGTATGGGGGCGTTGGTGGTGCTGGCGATGCTGGCCGGCCTTGCTGCGTTTGTGGTTCAGGTAAAGGAACGCTGCCATGCTTCTCCTAATCAGATAACATGTCACCATATTTCCCATCATGCAGTGCTGTTGTTTATGTTAAGCGAACAACTTACAGCTGCTTTCCGTTTCCATACTAATGGGAATTCAACATCTATGCCGTTTCCATGACTTGGAGTCCAGACCAGGAAATGGAGTCCTAGTTTAACTTCCTGGTTTGCCGCTTGTCTCCTGTCACCCACCAGTTACACCAGTCAGACTGAGTCCATTGATATTATTAATGACTATTTTTATAGTATCATTGTGATTATTTAAAACAAGTTAAACAGGAATTTAAAGGGAATTTTCCAAATGATGGTCAGAATTTAAAAGAAAAGACCGGTCAGCGAGGAATAATCAATGGATCAATATTTATACCTAAAACTAATACGTTTCCCCTTTTGCCATCTTCCAGCAGTGACGTCACGGTGCGGTAAGCCTAGCGCCATTCTCCCCGCTTTCCAAGCTAAATCAATGGGAACTACTAGACACATCTGCAATCAACAACAATTATTGAAGATTTCCAGAGGACTTCACCATTGAAATTCACCAGAGCTATAGTGAAACTGACAATGCCCACGTGCATGGCAGCTGGATGCTGGAATACATCGGGTAAAAGTGAAAAAAAGAGTTATTCCACCTTTCTGATTCCTGATCCTCCACGGACGGGTTGGTCGTTGGATCGCCAACTTGAAGAGGGAGGATTTGCCATCGAACTTCTGGCCAGAGAAAAAACCCGTAATATGTAGCCAACATTTGGAAGAAGAATGTTTTCAAGATGACTTGGATAATAGCGCGTTGTGACAAACACCAGATACAGCACTGGGACTTGATCAACAGCCGATACCGCACCGTGACAATGTCACTAACCAGTAGGTGGCAGTAGTGTTCTTTGACAAACATGGATGCCTCCAGTAAAGCACATTCACATGGAAATTACTCTGAATTAAAAACACTGATCATTTATTGAACAGGATGGAATCATTTCAGATTTAAAGAACTTTCAGAAGTTTGAATTCTGAATATGAGCGGATTGTTCCTTTAAATAAACGTGGGTGTTCCACAGGGCCTCTTTATTGGCCCACTTTTTTCAAGATACTGTTAAATTTTCATATCTATTTTCTGGCTGAAGTTTTCCACGTATGATAAAAATACAGTTGTATATTTAGCTCTTAAGATATTGAAATTGTCTCCACACAGTTCTCAGCTGTTTGTTAAACTTGGTTTAGATGAACGACTGAACTGATTTATAGCTACTAAGATAAAAAGGCAAGACTATAATGGAAAAAAAAACTTTTTTCTCTAAAGCGGAGATCTATATGTACAGTAATATTTAATTAATGTTAAAATTACTCAAATATTCATTTCTTTCAATAACTAAAACACATTACATAGATTCACATTATATAGATTGTTTCCTTCCAGACTGAAGTCTTTTGATGATTTTCGGTTTACAGCCAGTAAAAATATAACATTTAAGAATAAAACATCAAACCGATGAAGCTGTGCTAGGTGAAAACCATGTAACTTGCAGTTGTTTATAAAATCCTATTATTATCCAGCATGAAAGGTATTTGTAATGACTTCTGGATAAGGCTCCTCAGGAACCCTTGGGGGTTCATTTAGTTTCAGACGTTGTTGGAAAAACAACGTTTGGAGCAGGAGTCTGAGGTACTGCTGTTCTACAACAAGGACCTTTTTCTGTAAAGAGCGATCATGCGCCGTTACATGCTTGCAGAAATATTATTTAATGTCATTTATTGTTGAAGTAAAGTGCATTTCAACACAACAGTACGACTGTAAAATATGGCAGAACTTTCGTCCATAGTCTTTGGCCAGATGTGAGAATGATGCCCTGAGAAATGTCAAACTGTCAGGATCAGTGGATACTTGTTGATGGAGAGGCAGAGACTATTTCTTAGAAAATTTAATGAAGAAATAAAAACACAGAAACCATAATCCAGAACCGATCAACAAGAAACTCAGGAACCAAAAACTGAGAGACACCTGGGGGGAAAATAAACCGAAGTAATGAAGAGAATCCAGGGATTAAGAACTAACTGCACAGGAGGTGTATATATGGGAGACAGAAAAAAGAATATGCCATTAAGCTGATAGGGAGCAGGTGTGGATAGAAGCAACTAGAAGGGAGCTATGGGAAAAGAGACTGGCACAAGGGGGCGACAGAGTGTAACAAAAAAATACAACACTGCTTAAATATAACTTGAAAACAACTAGAATAACACAAAATAGAGAAAAAACCAGGGAGCCAGAAAACACAGAATGGCATAACTCAAAGTGTAACTGAAAACTTTAACAGAACCAAAAACTCCAGAAAGGGACTTAATTTAAGCAGCTATCACTTTAGATTTAAGCTTAGGCTTTGTCTTAAGAAAGACCAGATAGAGCAGAATTACATCTTTATTTAGATTAATGGTCTTTAAACTATAATGTTTATATTGTTTTATTTTGCTTGTTGTCGTATGTCTTAGACTTAGACAGATTCATTTTGTCTACACAAGAGTAAACTAAAAGAAATTTAGTTTTAAACCAGCTCTAGACAGTTTAATTTTTTTGAGTGCAGTAATAAATACATAAAAAAGTTTTATAAACATATGACTGTATATTTACAGTTTTAACATTTTTTTTAATAAAAAAAAAAACAAAAAAACAATTCAACATAACTTCTAAGGCTCTCCTCCCAGTCCAGGTGAGGGTGTCTGTGATGAATGTGGTGCTGCTGACCACCTCTACAGCTGAGCTGTTGATGAGCAGTGGAGCGGGGTTAGGCCGCTTCTTCCTGAAGTCCACCATGATCTCCTTCATCAAGCAGATCAGTTAGAAAATGGGCAAGTTGTGATCAGCTGTGGTTTCCATCTTTGCTCTTTTTGTTCAGTGATAATTAATAGTGAGATCTTCCATCACAAACATCGCTTACTGGTGAACAACCACTAGATGTCAGCAGAGGCGTCCAAAGTATTCATCTTTATTCCTCCAGTATAAATTCTGCTGTTTAAAAACACTTTTATAGAAGTTAGAGGATCAACTTCAGCTTTTTACTCCAGTAAAAGTATAAAAGTAAAATTTTAAAAACTACTTAAAGTATAAAAGTAAAAGTAATGAAGGTAAAACTGTTAATGCCAGAAGCTTTACTGCTCTACTCTATTAAAGGAACATTTTCTATCATTCTGGATGATAACTTCCTTAGACTTCATTTTCTTAGTTATATAACTAAAGGTTGCATCATCTTCAAAAACTATTTATTTTGGTTTGTGGTGAGCAACAGGTTGGGGCAGCACCGAGTCCAACCACAAAGAAATTAAATGTCTGGATGAAACTAATTAGTTTGATTGTTTTTATTTTTTTTAAATACCAAAAGGCCATAATGAAAATTAGCTTCAATTAAACAAAACTAACAAGTCTATTTTGAAAATGTAAAAAGTAGAAGGAAAACGTTTTCTAAAGAATAATTACTGCAGGTAAGTATAGACAACATTTCTACTTATAAGTAACAAAGTATTTTTAGTTTGTTACTTGAATCCTCTGGATGTCAGTAGTGATGTCGTTTATCTAACATCTGTCTAATATAACCTCATTATTTTATAGCTGTGATCATTTCTGNTTTACAGTTTTAACATTTTTTTTAATAAAAAAAAAAACAAAAAAACAATTCAACATAACTTCTAAGGCTCTCCTCCCAGTCCAGGTGAGGGTGTCTGTGATGAATGTGGTGCTGCTGACCACCTCTACAGCTGAGCTGTTGATGAGCAGTGGAGCGGGGTTAGGCCGCTTCTTCCTGAAGTCCACCATGATCTCCTTCATCAAGCAGATCAGTTAGAAAATGGGCAAGTTGTGATCAGCTGTGGTTTCCATCTTTGCTCTTTTTGTTCAGTGATAATTAATAGTGAGATCTTCCATCACAAACATCGCTTACTGGTGAACAACCACTAGATGTCAGCAGAGGCGTCCAAAGTATTCATCTTTATTCCTCCAGTATAAATTCTGCTGTTTAAAAACACTTTTATAGAAGTTAGAGGATCAACTTCAGCTTTTTACTCCAGTAAAAGTATAAAAGTAAAATTTTAAAAACTACTTAAAGTATAAAAGTAAAAGTAATGAAGGTAAAACTGTTAATGCCAGAAGCTTTACTGCTCTACTCTATTAAAGGAACATTTTCTATCATTCTGGATGATAACTTCCTTAGACTTCATTTTCTTAGTTATATAACTAAAGGTTGCATCATCTTCAAAAACTATTTATTTTGGTTTGTGGTGAGCAACAGGTTGGGGCAGCACCGAGTCCAACCACAAAGAAATTAAATGTCTGGATGAAACTAATTAGTTTGATTGTTTTTATTTTTTTTAAATACCAAAAGGCCATAATGAAAATTAGCTTCAATTAAACAAAACTAACAAGTCTATTTTGAAAATGTAAAGAGTAGAAGGAAAACGTTTTCTAAAGAATAATTACTGCAGGTAAGTATAGACAACATTTCTACTTATAAGTAACAAAGTATTTTTACTTTGTTACTTGAATCCTCTGGATGTCAGTAGTGATGTCGTTTATCTAACATCTGTCTAATATAACCTCATTATTTTATAGCTGTGATCATTTCTGCTCAGTGCTTTGAATCCTGCTGCATGTTTGGTTACGCACAGCCCTGTCCCCTCACACAACAATGGCTTTGTCTCTACGGGACAATGAGCTGTTGTCCAGGAAACCCACCCACAAAATGCCCCCTCAAATACCCTCCCTTTAATTAGCCGACCCCCCCCAGTTAAAGGCCCCTTTGTTTGGGTCAGCCCCAGCAATGATGCCATGTTTGTTGCGTTCATGTGAACCAGCTCAGCTGTCTGTTTTGTTTCGCAGAGGTTCCTGCGCTGAATCCCAGCGGTTCCTGCTGGTTCTGGACCCCATCCTGGATGACTGAGGAGACTCTGGTCCGCAGCATTTCACCTTTAAACTAATCTACTGAATAAATGGCTCTTCAGAATAAATCTAGATCTGTTTTAATTAAAGAAGATGTTTTTTTTTTTGTTTTTTTAACCTCTCTCTCTCAGAGTTTGGGATTTGTTCATAAACATAATGTTTATACATAATGTGGATCCTTATCAATATTCATATTAATATTGTCAGGAGTGATTTACTGTTAGGCAATACTATGCAGACGCCTAGGGCCCCAAGTTCCTGGGGGCCCAAAGTTATGTTTCCATGTATGGTTAATACAACTATTTCTTATTTGTGCACAATAATGATGTTTTTGATAAA